AATAACATCTAACATTACAGTTATGAGCCAGGAGCAGTCTAAATTTACAAAAAAAGAACAGGAAATAATAAAAGATATTAATTAAGCTTTGTGTTTGAGGTTAGNGTACAGGTGGGGAGATCACACAGTAACCATTGCAGAATAACATCTAACATTACAGTTATGAGCCAGGAGCAGTCTAAATTTACAAAAAAAGAACAGGAAATAATAAAAGATATTAATTAAGCTTTGTGTTTGAGGTTAGTTGTTGTTTGTCTCGCGTCAATCACCTTGCTATTGACTGCAACATTTTAACCTCATAATGCTGGGCCCAGTTGCTCGAAGCATGGTTAGCGTCAACCAGCGTTTAATACCTTGACAACGTATTGGTTTCGATACTGCTTAACCAATGGTTATAGCTAACCATGCTTTGAGCAACTCAGCCTTGGTCTTTATTTCCCTAACAGTCAACTGACTCCTTCACTGCTGGGTGCCAGAGACTCTTCATGCAAGGTTTCTGGTTTCAGTCAAGCCGCTCATGGCTTTGGCCTTCAGGTTGACCCCAAAACATCTCTACTACACTCAACTGCTGCATGTGGTACTCAGGGAAAGATTAGCTCCATGACTGATGAAGACCATAAAATGTTGCAATCAATAGTAAAGTAACTTTTGTGAGAGAAATCATAAATAAAACCCATCATGAACAATAGGGGGTCTCTTTCATCCCATTTTATTAACCCACCCCTGTACCCTAAAGGAGAAGGTGAAGAAAAAAATTGGGGTTAGAATGAAAGGCACATTGGGGAGTTGCCTCCCCTTCATTTCAATTTTGGAACTTCGAAACATTCAGTTATAATTTTAGCGCCATGAGGACCATACTTTATCTATCCACATTTCTTTTTTATGATGTTTACTTCTACAAAATTGCCGAGAAGAAAATATCAAGGATTTATCATCCCTTTTGAAATTGAGAATTGATACGACAAATGACGTCATTTGTGCCAAAAATGCTCGTTGATTCCGATCGACGTATATAGCACATAAAGAGTTCATATTTAGCCACATTGTAGCTTAAAATAATTACAGTGGCAAACTATAATTTATGAGGAAACGTTGCATGTTAACAGTAGCTCAAACAACGCAAAATATTTGAAATTTTATGGTGGGAAAGTCGAGTCTACAAGAAATGGCAACTTTGGCGATTATCCGGGAGATATAAGACTCTAATCTGGAGACCCGGAGATACGGTCCAAAATCTGGAGTCTCCCGGATTATCCGGGAGAGTTGATAGCACTGCGTTTAGGCGTGTATGAATACACGAAAACCAAGGGCCTCGATTCAGGGGAAGTTAGATCATTGCCAAAATGCCAACACGTATAGAAATGATCGCCGAAAATAAACTGCATGCTGCACCCTGATTCCACTTTGGTAATGACCCAACACTGTTCGGTCTAGCCTGCGAGCAAGCTCTCCTATTCGGGCGAGTGAAGCGAGTATCTCGAGAACGCGCGAGGGAGCGGCCTCTCGCTTGCGCGTTCTCGCGAGGCTCACTTCGCTTGCCCAAATAGGAGAGCTTGACGCAGGCTATGTTAGGTCTAGTTTGTGACTTTGAATGATTGACGTTGTCATATAACGTTAGCCAGAAGTAGCGATGATTGTAGCAATGCATAATTATTACGGTAGTTTCGAAAACGAAGACCGAAGCACGAAGCACCCAAATCTCGAAAACGAAGCACCCAAATCGAACCCAAAACTCGAAAACGAAGCACCCTAGATCGAAAACGAAGCACCCAAACTCGAAAACGAAGACCCCTAAATCTCGAAAACGAAGCACCCAAAACTCGAAAACGAAGCACCCAAAACTCGAAAACGAAGCACCCTAGATCGAAAACGAAGCACCCAAAAATTCGACACCGGTCTGTCCTTTATAAACACGAGACCAATGCTAATACAGCAGGAATCAAGCACGATAACGAATCGAATGCAGTTCAAATATACTCAGGTTGTAAATGCATTTCCGCCGCTGCGTGGGAGGCCCGGTGGGAGGCCATGTTTTTGACGTGATCAGAAAACCGAGAACGCCCAAACTGTTTCTAGAATGTTACTGTATTGCCAGTAAAAGCCAGTTAAATTCGCAGGCTTGAGTCGATGATAGAGAGCTTTAGATTTTAAGACGAGTACGAGATTTTCTTAGTACTAAGTGGTGCTCGCGCGCGAACCAGCGTCATTTTGGCGGGAAAACGTGGTAGCCGTCGTCATTACGAGTCTTAACGATATCGAAGCGGCGAAAACAAGAGAACAAATGTTAGAAGTTTGATAATTTTGCAATCGGGAGGGGGCGTAACCTCCTGCATATCCAATATGTTAGACTGCAAAACAATCGGTTTTTTTCTCAAAATCAGTAAAGAAGTCGGTGAAGCGTGGCGTAAGAGTAATACGCGCGAGCCTCACACTCCGTTTTCAGCCTCGTTTCAGACCTTTTGTGTTACTGCTCACGCGTACTTGAATACGCCAAAATCTGCTGACGGACAGTTTTGAAGTCTACATAAACATGTATGTGTACCGAAAAAATGCATATTAAGGTAAGATGTATCAAGTATAGCGAGACCAATAATAAAATTAATACAGTATATCCTATCTAGAAAAATCAGTTAAACAGTTGGCAGGCTCTTATAAAACCTTGGGATGTTCGTTTTCGAGTTTTGGGGTCTTCGTTTTCGAGATTTGGGTGCTTCGTTTTCGATCTAGGGTGCTTCGTTTTCGAGATTTAGGGGTCTTCGCTTTCGATCGAGGGTGCTCCGTTTTCGAGTTTTGGGTGCTTCGTTTTCGAGTTTTGAGTGCTTCGTTTTCGAGATTTGGGTGCTTCGTGCTTCGGTCTTCGTTTTCGAGTGCTTCGTTTTCGAAACTACCATAATGTTTTCGAGATTTCGGTGCTTCGTGCTTCGGTCTTCGTTTTCGAGTGCTTCGTTTTCGAAACTACCAATTATTACCTCAACCTCTGATTTCTCGTTTTTCTGTACACCGTTCATATTGTAAGTTTTATTGAAAATGTTATCCCGCCTGGACCTTCTTTTAATTTGGTTTTCAATTACCGTACGGGTGGTCTCGCTCAAGTTTTAACTCCCTTGCTATGCTTACAAAAACGTTAAAACATGAACAACAGATTTTGATCACGAGCAAATTCTTGCCTTGGCACGTCACAGAAATCGCCTCCACATCACGAGGCTCATTTGCATACAATGAAAGTTTACACCACTTGACCAACCAACCAACCAACCAACCGACCAACCGACCAACCCTGAGTGCTCCTTATAACCTCGTGAATAGATTCACGAGTTAAAAATGAATTGAAAATTTGTCCTGATAATGGCCTTAAGCATCCTTTCACCGACTAACTACATGAATTTATCCGAATGTAAAGTGCAGAATGGATTGATTTACAGGAAACCCTATATCTGCTTTCTGTTAAATTTCCAATTCTTGAAAAAAGTCGAACATGTTTAACTTCTGTAAATATATATGTTATCAAATATTTTTTTTTACATTAGGAAACAATGAAAGTAAGTCACACACTAATATTCTGAGGAGATCTGAAATGCAGATGTTCTTTTTTAATAATAGATTCGAAATGGAAGGCAAGCAATACAGCTGTGTTTATGTCTAAGGCTACTACATGTTATATTTTACATGGGAAGGTTTTTGGGACGTAAATGTTACGAAAATTTGTAAATAAAAATTTTGTTATGTAGGACTTGTTTGTTGACAAATTTTACGCTTCCCTACAATGCACATGTCACACATTATATTCTAGACTGTTCATATATAGTAACCTTAAAGTGAAATTTTACCATTGATCTCCGATCACTATGAACCCGTTTTTGCTCATGGTGCAATGGCTGATTCGCTGTTCTCAACTCAGTCTGTTGGAAAGATATCGCTCACGCTCGATCGTGTAATTCTTGCTGCCTATCGTTGAATCAAAGAACATAAGCTGAGTTTCGACTGCAAACTTCCAGGAATGCACTACCTCTCCTGATCGCTTTCGTTGCGAATCCATTGCGTATTGGGCGCATTTTCTCGAAGCGTCTGCAGTTCCCTCTCTTCCTGGGTTTTGTTTGAATTGCAATTGCGGTATTTTGACCCTCTGCATTCAAAAACAATTGAATTGAATTGAATACAGAAGCAGCAAAAAAACACCGTCATAAAAGCTGTCTGTACACGTCTCCAGTCGCTATAGCCTCTCCCTGGTCTTCCCTGTCTCTTGTTGACGGCTTCTTCCTCGCTGGGCCAAGCTAAAGCATTGTTCTCTCTGTTGCGGGGTTTTTCGCTGTCGTCGTCTTCTTTGTTGCTCGCGCTAAATCTCAATTCGGCGTTCTGTTGATGCTCCAGAGGAGTTCTCCCCGGCGAGGATTTGCATCCACTTTTTGAATCTAGAATTGTACTGCTTGCTCTTGTGGGTCATTGGTATTGAAGGAATTTGCTCGTGATTCACCGATAGTCTAAAAATTTCTTTCACAGACGATAAATAAAAATCAGGCCTTGAACTTGAATGCAGCACGAACCGGAAATGCATATACTGCGAGACGTCACACTGGATGCGGATACCAACTGGAAATGACCGATATATATGTACAAAAAAATATATATAGATGGGCCAGCCAAGTTCGCACGCCGCTAAGACCACGCGCGCGACGAGGTTACAAACCTTGCGAAGCGAGGCGCTTTGCGCCTCGCTTCGCTCGGAATTAGATCAGAAACCTTCCGACAATATTGAATTAATAAACTTAAGGTTAATTTGTTTTGCTGCTTAGTGAAGACTAGCATGCAGTAACAGTCGAAACATTGCGATCTAGAAAAAACGATACTATAAATTTTGTCAGTGCGACACTAAGAAACAGTTAAAAAGCTATGATCATAATGACGTGGTTGTATGTTTTTGCAATAATATTCAAGCTAGGATTTAACTGTACTGCAAACCTAAATAGTGATATTAGCCTGAACGAAACATTGTGAAGGTGATGCTAAAACATGACGATGACACTCACCACTTCCAAATCACCTGCTTGTCCCTTTTTGATCAACAATTCGGAGCTGAAGAAGTTAATAATATGGTGATAAAATTAAAGAAAAGAAGTGAATTCTTTTATTCAAGTGCTGACTGAGTGGTTGCTTTAATGAGAACTTGATATTTTACTTACCCATCGTAGAATGAAATTGTTCCTGTCTTGTTGTTTGCCATGTTATGCTTTATTCTAGGGAAAAAATTAAAGTACTGGTCAGTATATTTAATTAATGGTTCCATCATCACTTTTACTTAAGCCTTAACTGTGGACTTCAACTAGTCCCACACCTTTAATCCTTCCATCTGTCAATTTTCATCCACGTTTGCTTACTTTACTTGCTCTACTAAAATCCCTGAGGAAAATGAGAGCTTGCTCGTCAAAAAAGTCACAACATTCTCACAATAATATGCTTCACACCACCATACTTTATTTTCATATTCATCGTTTTGCCATCTTCGCCCGCAAATAGCAAAAGCTACACCACGCAGGCAGAGAGGAAAGATTACAGCAGTCATAAGCTGATTATATTGTAAAGTAAACTATGTGGATAAATAAGGATTTACAGAAAAACAAGCTAAAGCTACAAAATGGCCTTACAGAATGGAATTACAAGACAAATTTACTGACCGCTTGTTAAGAGCCAACATATTAATGAACTGATTGTTTGATGCACTCTAGCCTGCGTAGCAAGCGTTTCTGTGCGGTTTAGGACCAAAGAACGAGGAACAACAGTCAAAGACCGCGCGAAAAATTGCCAAAAAATGCCTCTCGTTTCATTTCTCGCACGGTCAAAACCGAAAATCCCCTTCCTCGGTCTTTTTTTGCTCCGAAACTAAACGGAAACGCTTGCTACGCAGGCTAGATAACTTGACCAATTTAGATTTCTGAGAAAGTGCCCGCCTACCCCTCCCCTAAAAGTGAGAAGTGAGTGTTAATGTTGGTTTGGGGGAGGGGTAGGTGGGCAGTTTCCCAGAAACCCAAAAGGATCATCACACACTGACAGTATTGCAATCTTGAAAGTAACTACTCACTGAATAAAGTCATGGTAGTAAGTGTAAAGACAATAAAATCTTATCCAGACTTACTCTCCTGATTCAATTTTGAGGAGCTGGTTGTTGTTGAGAGCTGAGAGGATGTAAACTACTGTTTCAATGACATAAGTGCTTGTAAGAATAATATCACCCTAGGGAAGTTTGAAAAATAAAATAATTAGATGATGGTGACAAGGGCAAATCCAGTCAATTCAAAAAAGGACACTTGCCAGCTATATAGATACTATCTAGTTTTTTTTAATACAATTATGTGAATGCTACTCCCGCTGTGATTGGTCGTTGCCCATGATCTATTAGAGTACAGATACAAGGATGACGTCACCGGAAACTTGTTTTCTTCAGTTGTTTTGTCCAACATGGCGCGTGGTTTTGAAAATGTTAGCGAGATTATTTTGGATTAAGCAAGTAAAAGCCTTGAAAAAGTTTAGCGGGAGCTGTTTGTAAACACGAAATCATGGAGAAACGGAGACAAAAAGAGTTCTTGACAACTTGAGAATGTCTAAACTGCAAGAAATCTTCACAACAGTTACCATCGTGTGACATCGCCACGAAAGACTCGCTGTTCTCAAAATGTTTTCACCATTACTCTGCTTTGAGCACGAAAAGACGTCGAAAAAGTGAATGCAAGTAAGATAAAGAAAAAAGAAGCAGAGACGACAAGTAGGGTTTGGGACTTAAAAAATGCCTAAACTAGCACAAATCCTTGAACAGTCAAGTGGTACGAGGCACTAGGTAAGTTTCTTATGTGCATTAGTCTTTTCTTTTTCTTTTCTGATCATTGTATAAAACCAGAAGCATATGCTTCTGATAAAACAAATAGATTCCATTTTGCCGTGGGTAATAAGTAATGCCGTGGGTAATAGTAATAGATCACAGAGGACGTCAAAATGTGGTAAAAACATCAGAGACACACTCGCCTGCAGCTCTGTGCCACTTCTTTGTTTTTACCACATTTAGCACATGTCCGATTTAAGACACTTTTTGGTGTGTTGACAGCAGATACAAAGAGCGTCCTCACATTAAATACTTCAAACAAACCTTGTCAGCCTTTTCATCAATTGGCACGTGAAGAACGAAGACTCCATCATTTTTTGAACTGACTGAAATACCTGAAACAAGTGAGGGCATTAAAAAATAACAAGAGGTGGGAGACTGTTGAAGGAAGTTGCCAAGTAACATAATTTCAAAATATGGTCAGACTGATAATTATAAATTTCAACTGTATGCACCTATGAGACTCCCATTTGAAATTCTGTGCTTGAGTTTGTAGTTCTTGTCATCAAGGATATAGATGGCCTACAAAAAACATGGAGTATTTAAGGTTTCTGGGAATCTTGTTTGCCATGTTATGCTTTATTCTAGGGAAAAAATTAAAGTACTGGTCAGTATATTTAATTAATGGTTCCATCATCACTTTTACTTAAGCCTTAACTGTGGACTTCAACTAGTCCCACACCTTTAATCCTTGCACCTGTCAATTTTCATCCACGTTTACTTACTTTACTTGCTCTACTAAAATCCCTGAGGAAAATGAGGGCTTACTTGTGAAAAAAGTCACAACATTCTCACGACAATATGCCTCACACACCATACTATATTTTTATACTCATCGTTTTGCCATCTCCACCAACAAATAGCAAAAGCTAGACCACGCAGGCAGAGAGGAAAGATTACAGCAGTCATAAGCAGATTATATTGTAAAGTAAACTATGTGGATAAATAAGAATTACAGAAAAACAAGCTAAAGCTACAAAATGGTCTTACAGAATGGAATTACAAGACAAGTTTACTGACCGCTTGTTAAGAGCCAACATATTAATGAACTGATTGTTTGATGCACTCTAGTCTGCGTAGCAAGGGTTTCTGTGCGGTTTTGGAGCAAAGAACGAGGAACAAGGGTCAAAGTCCGCGCGAAAAATTGCGCAAAAATGGCTCTCGTTCTCGTTCTCGCGCGGTCAAAACCGAAAATCCCCTTCCTCGGTCTTTTTTTGCTCCGAAACTAAACGGAAACGCTTGCTACACAGGCTAGATGCACTCCTACACGATAACTTGACCAATTTAGATTTCTGAGAAAGTGCCCACCTACCCCTTCCCTAAAAGTGAGAAGTGAGTGTTAATGTTGGTTTGGGGGAGGGGTAGGTGGGCAGTTTCCCAGAAACCCAAAAGGATCATCACACACTGACAGTATTGCAATCTTGAAAGTAACTGCTCAGTGGATAAAGTCATGGTAGTAAGTGCAAAGACAATAAAATCTTATCCAGACTTACTCTCCTGATTCAATTTTGAGAAGCTGGTTGTTGTTGAGAGCTGAGAGGATGTAAACTACTGTTTCAATGACATAAGTGCTTGTAAGAATAATATCACCCTAGGGAAGTTTGAAAAATAAAATAATAATGAGAAATAATTTAGATAATGGTGACAAGGGGAAATCCAGTCAATTCAAAAAAGGACACTTGCCAGCTATATAGATACTATCTTGTATTTTTTATACAATTATGTGAACGCTACTCCCGCTGTGATTGGTCGTTGCCCATAATCTATAGATCGTTGTCACTCACGTGGCAAGCATCTATGCAAATTTATTGAAACAAAAGAAAGCGTTTGCACAAGAAAAGTGTTCAACTCCCAGAGGATTGGTTTGGGACACCAACATGGCCGCCGTTTCATTGTTTTGGGACACCAATATGGCCGCCGTGAGGTCATGTGAAAACACTCTATTAGAGTACAGATACAAGGATGACGTCACGGGAAACTTGTTTTCTTTGTCTTGTTCAACATGGCGCGTGGTTTTGAAAATGTTGGTGAGATTATTTCGGATTAAGCCAGTGAAAACCTTGTAAAAAGTTTAGCAGGAGGTATTTGCAAACAAGAAATTATGGAGAAACGGAGACAAAAAGAGTTCTTGACAACTTGAGAATGTCTGAACTGCAAGAAATCTTCACAACAGTTGCCATCGTGTGTCATCGCCACGAAAGACTCGCCGTTTGCAAAATGTTTTCACCATTACTCTGCTTTGAACACGAGAAGACGTCGAAAAAGTGAATGCAAGTAAGATGCAAGTAAGATAAAGAAAAAAAGAAGCAGAGACGAAAAGTAGCGTTTGGGACTTAAAAAATGCCTAAACTAGCACAAATCCTTGAACAGTCAAGTGGTACGAGGCAGTAAGTTTCTTATGTGTATTTGTCTTTTTTTCTTTTCTGATCATTGTATAAAACCAGAAGCATACGCTTCTGATAAAACAAATAGATTCCATTTTGCCGTGAGTCTGTGCAGTAATAGATCACGCAGGACGTCAAAATGTGGTAAAAACATCAGAGACACACTCGCCTGCAGCTCTGTGCCACTTCTTTGTTTTTACCACGTTTAGAACATGTCCGATTTAAGACACTTTTTGGTGTGTGGACAGCAGATACAAAGAGCGTGCTCACATTAAATACTGCACTTCAAACAAACCTTGTCAGCCTTTTCATCAATTGGCACATGAAGAACGAAGACTCCATCATTTTTTGAACTGACTGAAATACCTGAAACAAGTGAGGGCATTAAAAAATAAGAAGAGGTGGGAGACTGTTGAAGGAAGTTGCCAAGTAACATAATTTCAAAATATGGTCAGACTGATAATAAATTATAAATTTCAACTGTATGCACCTATGAGACTCCCATTTGAAATTCTGTGCTTGAGTTTGTAGTTCTTGTCATCAAGGATATAGATGGCCTACAAAAAACATGGAGTATTTAAGGTTTCTGGGAATCTGACCACCTACCCCCCCTTTAAGCCAACATTTTGCCCTATGTGAGAAGTAAGTGCTAATGTTAGCTTAGGGGAGGGGTAGGTGGTCAGTTTCCCAGAAACCTACATTGATCCAAAAACATTACATTAGCATTAAATCTCATTGTTGATTGTTGAAGTTTTCATACAGAACAGCATTTAGTGAAAACCTGTCATAAAAATGATGTGCTTCAATTCCTTCAATAACAATTGCCTGTGCCAGTTACATATGATTGTGTATCAGGAATACCGGTAGTTTGCTACTTGCAAATGTTTTTTTTTGGCAGGCAAAGTTGTGGCAAAAATAAGAAAGGATGCATTTATTTGGCAAGTGCATGGGTAAATTTATTTTAATTAATACATTAAAACATTCAATTAAAACATTCAAGTTTTTTTTTCGTATGTATCTCGTATGTATGTATGTGGGCCATAGAAATTATATACCTTATACTACTACATTCTTCAGTTTGATTTGCTTAGAGCAGGGGTATTTCAGCTTAATTTGAAATACAGTACCTACATGTGAAAATTACAAAACCTTTGCGGGTAGTAGTATAAACAAAAAATAGCATAATTTGTACGCGATATTTGGCATAAATACCACTCGTGATATTTCAAAATTGTCTCAAATTATGTATACCAATTCCAAAATATCACTCGTGGTATTTATGCCAAATATCACTACAAATCATGCTATTACCTATACTAATTCCCATTCATCTGTGCATAGATATCAGGGCAACAGTGTTCTCTCCAGTTAATACTGACAGTTTGTCTGCAAACAACATAAATGTTTCACAATTTATTTACCTGGTCTGTAAGTATAAGGATGCGTGTCCTGAGTTTATAGCCATTTCTGTCATACTTGTGTACTCCAGTGCAATACTAGTAAGAGTAGGTTGGAAAAAAAAAATGACAGAATTATGAGACCTAACTACAAAAATGCTTCTAAAAGACCAGATTAGCTCTGACATGCTGATTATTGTTCCTTTACTGTAAATTGCATGATACCAGTACTCTCTCAAGAAATATTTTTACAGCTTTTTGATGAAAAAAAGAGTGCATATGGGCAAATAAATCATGACTAATTCTAAAAGAAAAAACTTCCTAAAGAACAGCCACATGACATAAAATGGAGTAACAAGATGAAAAAAAAAAAAAGAAAAAGTGTCATTGATAGATAACACATTAATCATATTTGGAATAAGAGTGAATAGAGTCCAATTCAGTGTGTAATCGTACAAGTGATTAACCAAATCAGACAACATGAACTTCTGTTACCATAACTATAACAAAATTTGTGATATTTTAAGCTTTTTGTAAACTAAAACACAAATAGACTAAAAACTCAACTCCTAAAAACATTGACAGGTTTTAATTTTTATAGGTTAGGCACATTAGACAACATTCCAATCATTAAAAAAAAGATAGGAAATTATTTAAGGGACAATATTAATTTATTGCATGAATATCCACTCATTAATACATGTGAAAAGTAGCATCACTTCACAGTATTTTACCACATTTCTTCAATTTTCCTATTTGGCTCTCAAGGAAGCTGTAGGAATTAGTGATTACCTTGATTGTTTCTGATGATGGCAAAATCTGCTTATCTGCACTGACTTTTTGCTTGAGCATTTGTTGTTCAATGTCTAATTGGATCAAAGGTAGGATGTTATTGTCAAACTATTTCCTTAAAAGTAAAAGCAAATATTATGTATATATGTCAAATAGTGATAATAACATTGGAAATGTAAAATAGTTAATAAAAAATTACCAAGTCTGTATGCACTGAATGGTAGTGGAATACTTGACTCATAATTAGCTTTCTTCCCTTTAAACACTTCACTGGCTGTCACCTTCATGCTGAGCTAAAAGAAAAAAAAACAGAAATTTGTTAAATTTAATTTTAGTAAAATTTACATTGCATTGAAAAATTTAAAGCAGTCACAAACTTCCTACATTAACCAGTACACAACCATCCCTGAAGACAACACAAAAAGGAGAAGACTAAAATGAAAAGGGACATGCATGGTTACTTACCTGAGTTTTTCTCTCAACAGTGATACTTCTTATATACTTCCTCACCAGCAAGCGAGTGTGCACCTTATGAAGCTGATCAGAAGCCTGTAAAATGAAATGTTGAAAAATAAAAATGATCGAACACTCTACTGGCAAAAAGGTACCTAAAATTGAACACTAATGTGATAGAATGGAACATATTATCATTGGTTGAAGGAAATATGGGTGTTCATAATTATTTATGGGCAAACTACAACACTGAAATTTTAAAAAGAGGAGAGAGAGAATGACATACTAAATCTCCCACTGGTAGCCTCATTAAAATAGTAAACTTTATCACTGATGTCACCGATTCAAACTTTTATGTGTGGAAAAAAAGCATGCTTTATGCTGAACTCGTGACGACACAGTCATGTGGTAAAAAAAATGCTGTAACCTCTATCATTGATCCAGGAGGCTTTGGCCATTTCTTGTCCAGTACAGTAGTGGGTAGACTTCTGGCCAGAAGTAGAAGATGAGATTTTCTCACATATGCCACAAACTAAAACAGATGGGACAGTTAATAATAATATAATTTGCAATAACTTTCAAAAGTCACATAACAGTGGCCATTTTCACACTAGAGATGGATAATACATCTTCAAAATCCGTCAAAAATGATAGAAAAACAGATGGATAAAGTCAGGCGAATTGCCCATCCAAAATTAAGAGTGTTCCATTTTCAAATTAAGACGTATTATCTGCCAGACGCGAATTATCCAACGGATAATCCATCTCTAGTGTGAATACAGCCAGTCATCAATAAAGATATTAACAAGCAAGAACTAATTACTGTAACAATAAAATTTACCATCTTTGATTCTTTCACCAAGAATTAATTAACACTACACTTACATCAACATTATCTTCATTGGCAGGCTGGTTTCTTGTTATGAATCCCTTGATAAACCTTTACAAAACAGCAGATAAAAAAATAAAAAAGGTACCTAGTTGCCAATGGTAAGCTGTGAGTAACCTGTGAATAACCTACATGCACAGTGTAAGCAGTTTCAATATAAACCATGTCTGAGTTAACCCACCCAACCTACCCCTCCCTTGCTTGCCTGACAGGAAAATATAAGCTAGATATTACAGCCTTCAAAAAATATTATTTGAAGACTGAGTAAAATAAGCACAAACCAGCTAGTGCAAGAAAAAAGGTGAAATTTTAATCTTAGAAAATCTGGTAATGAGAACTTGAGAACTCTAGAACTGTTCTGACTTTAAGATATGCCCTCAACATCATGAGACATTTTATTACGCAAGTATACCCAATATTGCTTCTACTGTAGGAATCGTGAATTTTGAGTTGTGAGAACATAGAACTATGTTCACTAGTACAAAAAGGAGGATTAAAAACACCCATGGTGTTGTGAGAGAAGCAAAATATATCAAACAATACTTACTTGCGAATCCGCTGTGTGGCCTTCCTTCTTCTCTCAAGAAGTCTTTGAGCAAGTACTCTTCTCCAGTGTGTTGCTATGGTGAGAGCTGCGACTTGCAATCTAAGGTACTTCTTGCGCTGATAGTAACCTTTAAATTGTGCTTGGATAATTGTTGCTGAAGAAAAAATTACAAAGTTAATTGACCGACAAAATCACAGAAGAGGAATTAACTTGCAGCTTTAAAAGTCTACAGATATAAGGTCCAGAAACAAATTTAAAACATTCTTACATTCTAAGAAACATACCAAGAGCAGGCTTTTTGGCTTGAAAAGCATCTTCAGTAGCAAACAAAGTTTTTGGAAATCGAATAAAAATCTTCGTCCTGTCAAGCAGAATATTGTGTCATTTAATATCGCAATTTGCCCATTAAGGCATAATAACAATATTATTGGGACAAGAAGTTATCCTCCAAATTTCTTTTGGTAAAAAATATATTAGTCATGGGGCACGTATATCTTGATGTACATAATAATAAAATATTATATGTGCCCCATGACTGTCTCCCCTCCCTCTCAAAATTTCCAACATGGGGGACCCTCCTTTACTTGGTTATGGTGCACAATGCAATCAGAGAGAGTGAGATATTGAGCTAAGTTCAAAGAGGAAACGGTGACAACAAGACTACCCACTTAATCAAGCTAGTATTTAACTTATATGACAAGGCCGTTTATATTCCTGTCTCTTTAAATAATCTTTCAAAGAGTTCAAGGGAGAAAACTACTTACTTCCCAATCCGGTATTCATCTGGTTTATAGTCCAGATGCTCACAGATTTTTTTCACTCCTGCACCAGGATCATCTAGAAACAACAAAAAATATTGCTGGTTTACACGTGAGTTCACAGTGGCCATGTTGGTGGTCAAGAACTAAAGCATTTCTCTCCTCTATGAACTACTTGAATACAAGCATGTAAGTGACCTCAAATTTGATTTCTTTTTAAACATTTTGAATAAATAAAGAAACTTTTTTTTTACAGCCAGCAACAATTCAAACCCAAAACTAAGAAATTTACATACCATACCAAGTTGGCCAAGTATCTGGACACAAACACTTGTATCTGTGATGTTTACAATGAAAATGAAATATTTATTTTGAGTTACAAATGACCATAGCAAATGATAACCAGAATGCACTGAGTATTTTTAAAGCAAATATACTTTCACTAAAGTTGAAGCGTCTGGTACATCACGCACAGCCTACCTTTGAAGGAAAAATGGAAAAGGTCTGCGATAAGCAAAGCCTGCTCTTCTAACTCTAAGATTCTCCATCAGACCCAGGTATTTTACCTGATGTTTCACAAGATCATCTTGAAACACAGCTGCAAAAAAAAAAATGTGAAAATTCCAAATAACACAGGTTTAAATTTTTATTAATTTTGTTACTAGGCCCAGGGAGAATTTAAACTTTTTAGCCTCAGCGGAATTGAATGGGGATGCACATTTAAGTGAGAACAAAGTTGGCAAGTTTTGTTTTTCAGAAAAGTAACACTTATCAATGTTCACTTGTTAGAAAACAACAAGAATCGGTTGGAAGATACCGGTACTGATTATGAGAATTCATTTGCAATAATTAAAAATACAGTACTGGTAAATTAACTGATCAAGCTTGAATCTTGACATCCAAGTTGCATTGTTATTGGCATGACAGCCGACACCTCTTAGAATGCTGTAAGTATGTTTACTTCCAAACTTGAACTATTGGACTACTATCTTCCTTCTCTTGGGCCAACTGACACCCAAAAATATCGAAATCACAACGCTGAGTTTTTTTTTATATAAAAATCATTAAACCAGGAGAGAAGGCTATTCATATCAATAACACCAGCCTATGTGTTGTGGGGAAGGTGTGGCTACAATAACACTTGACAACTAAACTGAGGTAACATGATTAAAAATCTAAATAAACCAACAGGGATATAGTTAAAACCACTCTTGACCTCAAGGTGAACAAGAAAACATGCATTGTTCTTCCTTGACCCTCAAGCTTGCTTTCCAAGGTCAAGGCTCTCACTTGCAATGATGTTTTCTAACTGCTATAAAAGTGAATTCACCAAGCATATATATTCTGACCTGCTTTTTTTGAATCATTTGGTTTGATGCATCTCACATAGGATGGCTGCTTACACATTAAGATTGTCATCAGATTGTTCAAACTTGTCTTGAACTGTGTTCCTGCCTAGAGAATAACAAAATCCAAAATAAAAATTAAAGACCAATAACTCAGTAAAATGCATGACCTTCAGTCAGTAATTTTTTTTTTTTCATTTTATGTGCAAGACTTACTGTTTCTGGCCTTTTCAAAGACAGCATTTCTTTCTTTGGAAACACTTCTGATGTGATGCAGTTTGTACTGTTACACATTGCCTGGTCCATGAAAAACAATTAAAAGAGGTAGTGTGTAACTGAAAGTTTAGCATCTTTATTTATAGAAAGAAAAAATACTGAGTAATGATGTCACACAAAGACAGTGGCATGTGGCAGCTCATATGTTTTGGCAAAGCATGGCAGATGCATGTAGTAAAAATAACAAATTAATACAATTTGGAAAAACTGTCATGAGATGTAAGATTGCGTTAAGATTGACCCACCTCTTTCAGATCTCTGAACAGGAGATTGTTATTCTTGTCTACAAAACCTGGGTGAATAATATAAGTATGTGAAACGTGAACACCACAAACAAAAAATTACATGTTCTGGTCTTAACATTTCTGTGAATTATTTCTTGTTTAATTTTTATCCTGTGAAATCAAGAGCCTATGCGTGATCATAAAAAAACCTCATGCAGCATTTGCTGATAAAAAAATAATAATATTAAGACAGTAAATTTACTTAAACTATATGTTGCATACTTGGAGTGAATATAGAGAGGAAAATAAAATCATGGCATTTTTATGAACTTTTGCTGGATGGGTGTTAAGAATCTTTACCATTAACATTGTATGTGACATCTCCAGCATAGTGTTTCAATCTGAATTCCTGTGAGAAAAAAGAAGGAATCAAATCAAAAAGCATATTATACAGATAATTGTGATGGTGAAATTGTCAGAGGACAAACAAGCAAACTTAACAATGTCTTGGTGTTGATTAAAATCACAGCTGTTTGGTTGCTTCCTTGAAGTAAATTAATGTTTCAGAAATAAAAAAATCTAATGTTGAGGGGTTTCATGGTCCAACACCAATTTAATTTATCATTCTGATCATCATCATCATCATCATTTTTATTATTATTATTATTTTCATCATTATCATTATAACTTTTTTTTTTTTTGGCAGAACTTGTACAATGTCAGCTTGAGTGCCACCTTGCCACTTAACAAGGAAAATGTTATTACATAAAAATATTATAAAATTATAAATCACGGCTGTCAAAAAGAACAGCCAACTGAATGTGTACACAAAGCCACAAGTAATAAACATGGAGTGGTTTGTCTTATGCTTGGAAAAACTACAGAAGTGAAACACCAAAAGCAATGACACACACCTCCCTTTGGATGGTTTTCCGCTCACTGTACCCAGATGTAGCATGACTGTCAAAAGAGAAAATTAATTGTAAAATATTTTGTTCAAAACTGTTAACAGTATAAATAAAAATACTTTTGGACTAGGTAAACAGAAAGAATGAAAGCTGTATCCTAATTCTATAAATAACTATTTATTATTGACAAGTGATAGTATTGGGTTAATCTGACAGTCACGTTATTTATAGCAGCACCTCTATGAAATAACATGAGGCAACATTACACCCCTCAATATTAAGCATTTTGCTGCTTTGTACCAGCAACTGTGAGGTTACATAATATGAGCTGTTATTAGCATAAGCATATAATTTGAGATAGAAAATCGCAGGGGTTAAACAAAAACAGTCACCAGCTACCTGATGAAATGAGCATGCTCTCCAATTGTCTTCTCCATCTTGTCCAGAAATGTCATGTCCGATACTTCTCCAGGTCTAAGGCATTCCTCATCCTATCCATTAGAATTTAAAAAAAAAAACTGAAAGTGCACCTTCTGCTTTTATATCTGACCACATCCTTGGGTAAGTATTAATTCTGCCCTAAGGGTCTCTTAGGGTGCTTGGAAGTGGGCAGTCACCTTTGGTGACCTCCTATTTTCAGCTGAGGATCTCGAATGCTGCCCTCCTACCTTGCTTAGCTACATTAACAGTACCTACTCTCCAAAATTTCTGTTAGCTTAGAGTTTAACCAATAGCCCTTTAAGCCCCAGTATCCACATACAAATTGTCCAAACTGATCTCCATACATTTCCATAAAGAATTAGTTGAGAGAATTTGACACGAGATCAAGGGATTTTCTCTTGGGTGACCATTTTATTAATTCTCATAGCTTATCTCTTGACAGTGTATTGATATTGTCAGGAGAAAATTGATTTTGGTCACTATTAATATTGGGACTTTAAGGGATAGACTACATTACCATTACAAAATTTAATGTCTGCCACAACAGTAAGTGTAGCTGCATAAGATAAGAAGATAAGTTGCTTACCAAAAGAGCAATAATTCCTTGGTGCCGGGCTTCAATAAGATCACATATCACCTTGTTGTCAAAGAACTCTACCTCCTCCCACTACAACAAGATTAAACAATTGTCAAAACTATTCAAAATAGTTAGATACAGTTCATAGCTATCAATAAGAAAACAAAAAACTCCTAAACTAGTACAGTCCATGAGGACAACTAGCTTTCACAGGTTTGTAGCTAGTATAGAAGCAACCAAGTTTCTTGTGTGTGCCTTTCAAATAATATTATATGGCTAAGGTTGCTTTACATTTAATTCAACTTTTTTTTCAAAATAAGATTCTCATCAGGCTAAAAGGCTTTTTAAAGTCTGTGACTCAAATCCTATTCCTCTGAGATCAAACTTCTGTAAAAGCACTTTTGCATGGCAATATCATTTTTTTGGCCTCTTACAAAATAAATGGAGCATGTTTTTTTAATGGGGTATGTCACTCTCAATGTGAACTATACTTTTGTCTCGTGAGCTAGGGCCTATTCGCACCAGCAGACAAAATTGGAATTGTCTTTGAAACATCTATACCAAAAAATGGTGACAATTTTTGTTTTGAAAAATATTATCCAAACCAGAAACTAGTAACTCTTATTAGGCCGTTACATCTGACAACACTTGCATTTGTTAGTGGAAAGAATAATGGCTTTACAACAAATGACTGACAAGAAAAACACATTTCTGTTTATTTAGTCAATTTTGTGCGCACCTCCTGTCTGGGACAAAATTTTTAAAACTGCAACAAACCATCTGCATTTGTTAAGTGTTGGTGATGACAAAAAAATTGTCTAAATAAATGGCTTCTTCACTAGTGTGGATAGGCCCTAAGTCTTCTTCATTAAAGCTGATATCGGCCAAAAAAATTCAGACTAGTAAGTAGCAGTGACAAAATTGATGATTTTCACAAATGGTTACATTAAGATAGTGTGTTAAAAGAGAAATCAATGTAAAGTTACCATTATTCCTTCCTTTCGGTACTCATCTTGTTCTTCCTTCAATGTCAGCTCAATGAATAACTGTTGAAGTTTCTCATTACAATAATTGATACAGAACTGCTCAAAACTGAGAAAAAAAATTTCTTTTAATATACTGCAAACGTTTTTATAAATAGATAAATAATTATTAAAATTGATTGAATGAAAAATAATGATTTAGTGGTAGGGTTTCCAAAAATTGGTTCTTTGTCTATTACTAAATCCAGATTGCATTGGAATTTAGAAATCTTGGTTTTTGAGGAGAGGGAAAAACCAGAGGGCCTGGAGAATAAAGGCGAGAGCAAGAACCAACAACAAACTTGTCCCACTATGTAGCAGCTCATCCTTGATTTGAACCCTGGCTTCATTGGGAGGTAGTGAGTGCTCTGACCACTGTACCAACCATGCTGCCCCGTACATTAACCCTTTAAACCCTAATATCAAAATTTTAATTCTCATTTGTTGTGCCTATACATTTCCTATAGAAGCAGTGGGGAGAAGTTGATGATTCAGGACCTGGTCACACAAGACTACTTTGTTTTGTAAAGCATGGATACGTGTATTACAAGGAGAAAATTTAATGTTGATCACTCTCTTGGGGCTTGAAGAGTTAAAAAAAAGTGTTTTCGCGCTGTTCCCCTTTCATAAAGGGATTTAGAATGTCCAGTTTTTTACAGGTATAGCAGTTACAAAGTACCTGTTTGCTTCAAAAATTTCAAAGCCATAGATGTCCAGTATACCCATGAGTGTCTTCTTTCCTCTGTAAGACTACAACATTGGCAAAATAACAGTTAAAAAAAATAAGATCTTAGCAGTTAAACAGTTGCATGTCTCCAAGCATTGTTTATTTTTTTCTACAACACTCACCAGGAGAGTGATTTCAGAGAGCAATTAACACAAATTTGTTTGGCAGGGGAGGGTGAATTTTTAGGGAGGATGAGATCAAACAGACCCTTCTACATTTTTTTCAACTTTAACTAGTCCAGTATTTTGGTGTGAAGCTGGGTCCTTTTTCCACAAAACACTCAAACTATGGTGCACAAAAGCTGCCAAATGGAATAAGAGACAAGATAAGATAGGTGATGATGCGGTATCTGAAAAAAATGGATATTTAAACCCTTTAATTTATTAAAAGCTTTCTTGACAATTGTTATAAGAAACTATTTTAAAATCTTTGAGCATTTATAATACTTTATCCTTTATAATACTGGTGATGCAATTGTCCCTTAACTCCATAACTATTTATTTAATAGTGTACGTATGTCTGGGCCAAATTACCTGGCTGACAAGTGATGTATTGATTCGCTGAACAAGCCAAGTAAACATACGGTCATATACAGCCTTAGCCAGTGCGTCACGGGCGTAGATAGCTTGCTCACTGGTAAGTGGTGTCCTCACCTACAGACAAGACAATGATGTATTAAAAAACTTGCATTTAACAAAGAAAAAATTAAGCTAGTAACCCACTAGAAAGATTAGTCTTTATTGTAAGTAAAAACTCCCCGAGGTCACGCACAAAGACATGTGTCAAAAAAAGTTGCTCACATTTTGGTTTCATTTTCATGGAAGCAGCTTGTGGCTCTGAGCCTATTTTGGATAATTTTATTGAAAAACAACTAAACTAACCCTTAACTGTGTGTGTGAAGGTCATAGGATTTTGTTGAGCCATAACAGAAAAGGTGCTATTACAGGGATAATGCCAAATGTTCCTTGTCTGGTGTAGAAAAGCTGAGAATTTTATCAGTACCTTATCTCCTCTAGTCTCTACTGTCCGACTTGTGAGAGCTTTCTCCAAAACCTCTTCTGGACAGCCCAGAAGCTATGAAAGATAAGTGATGGACAGAGTGAAGGACAAGAAATAAAATTGTACAGGATTTAAAGTAGAAATATTTTTTTATTTTACTATCTATTTTATTTAGATATTTTAACACATCATTACACAAACATACTAGCCAACTTTTAAATAAATAAAAACACTAGTAGGCCTAACAGTAAAGGGTTTTCCTCCCACCAAAAAAGTGTGTCACTTTAGCAAATGGATAAAAAAATTAAACGCCAAGGAATAATATGATACCATGCATTTACATAATGAAACCATGAATGCCTAAAATATTTTTTCAGTGTCACTGTCTTTCAACAAAACACATATGCATGTAGTTCAATGAGGACACAAACAACGTGCAAACCACAGTACAAACTGTAGCTTGCTGTCATCTTGCAACTCAATAATATTCAAGAAATAGTTATTTTCTGTTGTCCAATTAGGCATTCTCAGCTTGCCAATAAATTCATATAGTAAAATGTAGCTCACCAAATATAATATTTGAAGATAAAAGAGTTGCTGTCATTCGAACCTATGCAGTTCTAAACACTCATTAAGGGATTTAAGTCATAAATAAAACTTATGATTTCTGTTGCTTATGCACACTTTAACAAGTCTAGGGCACTGTTTATATAGCTCTAACTGGAGCATTTTCTGGTAATATCATTTTAGCATAGCATTAGGTCAAAATTTTTGGAAAATAAGTCTCATATGAGCAACTAATGTTAATCAAGGTCTAATATTGACCTCTTAGCAACTCACTCTTTCATATTAGTTATATATATTCTAGTTTTTATTTTCAGTACCTTTGACACAACATTGACAGGTCGACCATTTTCTAGTTTAACTTCACCATGTTCAATTTCTGGGTCTAGAAAACCAATTGTTCCCAGATGGATGACAGATGCGATGATAGCAAACAATGCATTTTGCTCCTCTTCAGTGAACTCAATAATAGATAAGGCTTCCTTCACATGCTTGAAGTTGGCCACATCATTAAGAGACTCCACATGAGTGTCACCACCCTAAAATTTGAGATCATAAACACAAGGGGCACCCAACGTCAATTTTCCGAAAAATGTCTGTTTGGAAGATGATTTGAGATCTAGAATTTTCAGAATATTAATTTTGTTGTAAAAGTTCTTGCTTGCCTACCTCTCCTAGCATTTTCGAACATCTAAAAAATGGTACAATTGCCCATTTTTAAGGGATTTTTACCCTAAAAAGGTCACCTAGAATTTTCGGGAGCCTTTTTCTACCTGAAATTTTCGACAGGGTAAGTTTTGATCCCTATCATTTTCGGATCACTAGACTTTCAGCTAGGAAATCCAAACAGATGAAAAACTTTTAGGACATGAAAATATGCCTATATCTACCATTTAAATACTAAAATACGTTTAACAATGCTATGTTTTAGCTGTTTTGAACTATATTCTCGTTGGGTGCCACTGAAACACCTCCTGCTCTAGAATGAATCACACTGATACCAGTTTTCTGATGTTGTTCTCAAACTCATTGAATTATTCTTGCTGTTGAAAGCCAATAAATAACAACCATTTGGGTCAGGTGGATGAATCTTGATACTCAATGAAACACCAGATCTAACACCACAAGGTTTTTATTTGAGATCAAAACACTTGCAGTTGCATTTTTATTGTTTCATTTGAGAAGAAAAGGCAAAAACTTGGGCTTTGTGCTTCATCATGGGCTCCAAACACCTCAGAACAGATGGAAGCACTCGGCCTACAGCCCCATGCTTTCATCTGTTTCTCAGTGTTTGGCATATTACATTATGTTCCAGGGGCCCATTTCTCGAAAGTCCCGATAATTAACGGGCCCGGTAAGCTCTCTCCGTTTACATTAAAAATCAAGGTTTCAATAGTTTTCCATCTAGCATGATAAAACTATCAGTTAGTGAAACAAAATGGAGTAGTTTGCTTGCCAGGACCCGCGCTCCTATTCTTTATATTTTGATTTGAATATTTGATTTTGGGCCCGAAAAATAACTGGGACTTTCGAGAAACGGGCCCCAGGTCAAATGTGATGTCAGGTTTATTTTAATCTAACCTCAGTTAAATCTCAATTTCCTTTAGCAGGCAAAAAAATTAAGAACAAACCTGGGCTAACACGATTCAACCTGAAATCAAATTTGACTTGTAACATTTACAGGGTTGGATATGTACTAACAGCATAGTGGTGTCATCTTAAGGTAGCTGAGAGATATATGTCATTTGCCAAATCACGGCAAGAGAAAGGTTGCGGCTCACAAGCTGAGGTTACTTGGCAAGTGAATAAAATACTGATGAAAGATTTGTATTGACAAGTAAATTTTGACATTTTCATAGTTTCCATGGCAACATGAATGATTGAATGCAACTTTAAAATTTCACTTTTGCTCAGTTTAAGTAAAATTCGCCCATTAGATTTTCCTATAAACTTACACACAGCTTACTATAATTACTCATTACCATTTGAAACTTATTTAACCAAATTTTAACAGACGGGTTTTTAGATAACCAATAATACAATTGTATCGTAATTATTAAATGTGTCACAAAATTTGTCTGTTTAACTTCCATTTTAAAGTTCTCGTTATTTATTATTTTAAGTAACAATTCTGACAAATATCACAAAATTTTAATGAGTAGATTTTGAATAATTGTCCTCTGTGTACCATTGCTTTTTCGCCACCAACTTTGTTTGTCTAATTTAAAACATGTGCCGTCACGCCAATTACCGCTGACAGCCTGCAAAACTGTGTTCAGCCACCTTAATAAGAGGTAAAAATGAGACACATCTAGGCATACCTGACTGAGATAAAAATACTTTGAAGTGTCTCGTTCCAAATCAAGAATGTCCAGTAACTCATTACTGCCACCTTGCAACAGCTGATAAAAGATGTGAAAATTTCTTTCACCTAAGGTGAAACAATAAAATCAAGAATCAAAAGCAAGTTGTCGGTAGTTTTTCTGTAGGAAACATACTGCTGTTCACATTTTAATTCAGCCAAAACATGATGGTAGCTGTGTTGGTGCAGTCAATTAAATCCTACAACCAGTTGCAAAAGTACTTGAGACACTGTACCGTATTTTCGCTTACATGGGCTCTCCATGATCTTGTGCTTGTGGTCCCCCTCCACCCCTTATCAAAGTTAACAGCAATACAAGATCATGCTCAAAACTTGGAGGAACAATTTTGAATGGAAGGGAAGGGGGAGGTTGAGTATTATATCTCACAGACTTGTGACTAGCAGCGATTTGAAGCAAGGAAGGTTGTTTTTTCTTTGGAGTGTCTCAACACTTTTGCCACTGGTTGTAAATTAGAGAGAATTACTGAAGCCTAATGGTTAACAAAATGAGGACTAAATAAACCTTTTGCTTGATGGACAACTCTGGATTTTTCCAACAGATAGTTGATAATATGCCCACCAACAGGAGATCCCTAAAATTGAAACATTTTAAGTGAGTTAGCATGTAATGTGGCATACAAATGCATGTAACATTCACAGCATTTCTACACTTAATTACATACTCTCACCTTGAAATCAAACTGAATATCCATGTACTTGCCAAAGCGACTTGAATTATCATTTCGATTGGTTCTTGCATTGCCAAAAGCCTTTAAAAAGGATAGTTTTGGGAAATATCAAAAACCAAGAAGCTATCAGAGAGTACACTTAGAGGTCATGGTATCATGCATATGTGAGGATTTTTTGTGTCAGGCACGTGTGACTGACACAGTGTTGTTTATTGTTTTGGGTTGGTTGAAATGGGTGAAAAAGGAAACGTGGAACCATAGTGGACGTTGCTTAGTATGTAAATAGCATGCATTTGTCCTCAGAATTCCTAACGTAAACTGCAGTGGCTCATTGAATAGCGAATGCCCACAACTACCAAGAAATATTATGGACTGGTAGCAATGTCTCTATTTCAAGTGGCAAGTGGACATGCAAGTGAGCTGTCACTTTCTTTGCCAGGCTATTTCAAAAAGGAAAACCAAGGAACAATAAAACTTGAACAGGTTATTTTTTTGAATTTATTTCTTATTTCTTCATAGAAATTCTACAAAGCTTAGAATTCTAGAGTAAACCTTACTTGGATCATTAATTTGCTATTATCTAAATACTAACAGATAGTACAAAAATTAACCACAAGGGACTGCAACAACAACAACAACAACAACAACAACAACAACACTTTATTTAACCCCATAATATGCAAGAAATAAAAATTTATAACAATAGTACAGACGATGATAGGGGCGCTGGCTGCCCGAAATAACCTAAGAGTTAAAAATGCCAGGCAGCCAGTTAAAAGAAAAGATGTTTAAATGTTTAGGTCAGGGACACAAGAACAAAGAAAACAGAGAAACACACACAAATAGTTAAGTAAACTACCAGTATATAGAGAGACTAAAAATTCATACATTGCAAAACAGTATTATTTCCATTTTAAAGTTACCCAGACAACGTACAGATGTCTAGTAATCTTTGATAAAGTGTTGTTTCATTTTCTTTTGCAAAGGACTGCAAACGAATATGCCAAAGAACGTAGGATCTATAAAGACCTGATCAGCAAAAATAATAATGTAAACATATTAAATTCTGCAAACAGAACACTGCAATGCTAATCGTAAAAGAGGGCCCAAAGAGGGCGAAACAGCTGTTTATGGCTACAATCCCGCTCTGTTTTGAGTTCTTTTGGTGTCGTGTTGATGTCTTGCAGAGTTAACTTTTCACGTAGTACAATCAGCATTGCAGTATTCTGCTTGCAAAATTTAATATGTCTACTAACAGATACTTCAATTTTTGTAGCAACAGCTTGGCTCAAGTAATTTTAGGTACCTAGCAAGAGATCACAATAATATCATTATCCTATTTGAGTTCCTCAAAAAACCATACCCTGATCCCACTATACATTATCCCACCCACTGAGAACTCACCTCCAAAACGGGGTTACTCTCAAGGAGACGATCTTTGATTCTCTCAACATCATCTGAGGAAGTGCTTATTGCTGCTAGGTATTCCAAGATTTTCTTTGATGCCTCTAAAAATATGTGATAGAATAATAGCCATAATTACCATTGCATCAATATGATAATGACAGCCCCATTGAAAACTGTCATAGCAAGTTAGGCTCCCTTACTTATAAATAGTAATAATAGAAATAATAATAATAATGATGATGATGATCTGAAAAGTCATTGTAGTTCCTGTTGTTATTAGGGCCCTCAGAGCCGTATCATTCAACTTTAAGGAGTAGATGAAGCGAATCGGCATCAACGTGAGATTGGAAGTTATCCAGAAAATAGCATTGTTGGGGACAGCAAAGATACTAAGGAAAGTACTGTCCCTGTGAGAAGAAGGAAAAGAGAGACCTGGGACCCATGGTGACTTGTTGTAACCTGCTCCAAAGGACTATAAACCAGGCCGAACATCCTGCCTGAGTCTACAAGGAATGGGCATGATAATAATAATAATAATAATAATAATAATATTAATATTAATAATAATCAGTTTAAATTCCCTAAAAAATATGACAATTGCTTCACATAAAAAAATAAAACAAACTCATCCCAGTCACATTTAGAAACCCAAGGCCCTTTATGAGCCAAAATACTCAGTGATTTTACACTTGCACTGACTAAATAACAATATAATATTCCTATACTTTCTCTCTTCTGCTAAAACATCAGTAATCCAATTCAATAATGTTACTCATCCAATCAGTGTGAAATTGGATCTCTTATCTTGGTTATATAGATTGAACGAGCATCTGACTTTGCCACACCCATTCAAACTGAACTTGTTGCGGAGCATTTATTAGTCTTAGCTGAAATCAGACCACCATATTTGACCGTACCTGTCTTTCCCGCTCCACTCTCTCCAGAAATTAACACACATTGATCAATTCTCTCTTCTTTCATCGAACGGTAAGCTGCGTCTGAAATAGCATAGCTGAAAAAGTACATAAATAATGTTTAAGCACTGAAATGTGCATTCAAACTAGACCATGATAATCTGCTTACTATATTAATATTACTACTACTGAGATATAACTCTGAAGAACTTTCTTGTTATGGATGCAAGCGGGAGGTTTGCTAAGCATGACGGATGTAGATCAATAAGGGTGATGGCTAAGAGCAACCCTAGCTTCTTGAGCACCTATCAAATCTCCAAAATGCATTCATAATAAATTCTACAGCAGCCACCACTGACCACGTTTTACTGATGACCTATAAATGGGATAGTAAGAGAAGCACAAGCATTCGCTTGCTGAACTAAATAATTGATGAGGTAGTGTATTTGGTGATGTATGTGTGCACTCATTTATGTTATGGTGTGCTCTACAAACCACGTTTGTTAAAGAATTGTCACTGAAAAATTATTTTCCCTCCTCTCGATTCTATGCTCAAAACCCTGAATTATCACTCAACAGGTTTCTGGACTTAACAATTGACACAAAATGGAACATGGTTTGGGATTTAGAACAAACATAATGTCAAGATGAAGTCACTCACTACTCCCCCAAAATATTCAAACAAAATTGGCCAAAACATTTTGAAATTATAGAATAAATAAAGAAATAAAGAAGTAAATTGTGAAACTATGAAATAAAATTGTGCGGGGGGTCACAGAAAAGAATTAACACTGGCAATACTACCACAAAGAGACATCAAAATAATAGTCAACAGAATCAAAGTCAATAATAATAAATATTAACCTTCGTGCAGATTATGGCATGAAAATCTTCTTATATTTGACATTTTGACAGTCATGTATAAGAATACACTCAAAAAAAACAAAAATGTGTGGTTGACAGATACAAGATCTTTTTAATGCCAATCAGCTCAAGCTACAGGTAAATGTACTAAGTGCACTTGCTCCTCTATTCAGCATAATGTGATGTACTCTCAAATCCTTCAAGAATAACCAGGATCATCAAGATTCCTCTCTCCTCACTTTCAGAGGCAAATATTGTTTATAATAGGTTATTCCTAATGATTTTCATTTCATTATCCAATTCTTGAGGAAAAATGGGGAGACAAAACCCAACTTTAACCCTTTAATCGCCATTTATACCCACATACAAATTCTTCAAACTGATCTCAAAACATTTCCTTACAAAATTAGTTGAGAGAAGTTGATACAAGAAGTTGAGAAAAGAATTTTACTGTAAGTGATCATTTTATTGATTCTCATTACCTTCCCTCTTGATTATGAAAAGATAATGTAAGGAGATAATCGATGTTGGTCACTCTTGGAACTCGGAAGAGTTAAGACAGAATCCATCGGGAAATTGAGTAATTTTCATTTTTAGTAGACAAAACCCTTGTACCAGAATAATTTAAACAATGTTGCATTCTTTTTTACATTTTTCAAGGGCTATAGATGTAGTTAGTTACCTGTAATAACATCAAAGAAAATTTCTTACGAGAGCCTGGGAAAATAAATGTCAAATTTCACAAATGACACCTTACACACAAAATTTTCAGAATTTTACCTCTGTTTTCACAATTCTTGTTATTTTCTCAGGCTCCTATAAGAAATAGTCTTTGGTGTTATTACAGATAACTAGGCCTTGAAAAGTGTAAAAAAAGAATACAACGTTGTTTAAATTATTCTGGTACAATGTTTTTGTCCACTGAAAATTGAAATTTTTCATATTCAATTTCCTGATGGATTCCATCTTAATTTGACACCTTTAAAAAACCCTATCAATAGCTTAAAAAAACAGGTGCCTACTTGTAAAATAACAATAATAAAATACTGGTAATGAGTAAAGAGCCCACAACATATAGAGCCAACAAATTATAGATTTTTTTGTTTTATGGTTTACACCCATGGCAGCTGCTTTTTATTATAGGGGCACTGAATATTTTAAATTTTTCAAAATTAATGTTAATTATATTAGCAATTAAAGAATCTAGCCTGTAGCAACTTGATAATAATTACTTTCTTAATAAGCACCACAAATTTGCAAAAGAATGTAAATCTGACATGACTACTTCTAATCTTCTAACTAAAAATCATTTTACAAACCAGTGACTTCTATAATATCATTTCATTATAAATTTTATAATATTAAATGTTATTATATTATATTATGATTTGTTATTGCCTCTTAACAAGAATCGAATTTTCTTTTAAATTTTCACAAACTTAGAGCATAATAAAAATTGAGGACACATAAACTTACATGTGTGGAGGCAGCTCATACAAATTTTCCCCTCTGTATTTCTCTATGACATCCTGGCTATAAATTGGCAAGTTCTTATATGGATTCACAGACACTACTACCGTTCCTATGTAAGTCTGTTGAAAAAGAAGGATAAGTAAAGGAATTCGAACAAATATGTTTAATGCGGTATGACAAAAGAATAACAATTTACATGTTATAGCCTTGAGAACAATTATCGGTTGTTTACTTTAAGCGAATTAACTGACATGGAATTTTTTTAATAAATACTTAGCTAGTTACAAGAGAGGAGTGCTACTTATGTAAAATAGACCAACAACAGGATCGCTAAAAGAGAAACAATTACTATAAAAGCCTTGATAACTTTGAGTAGCTAAAAGAAATAAGTTAACTACACTCGTGCTTTACAAGTTAAGCTTAACTGCTTGAAAGTGACACTACCTGTGTGCACTGCCGTTTGACGAATTGAAATTTGAACAAACTTTAAGTATTCCTTGTACTCACATAAATCAACCCAGAATTGTAACGTTTCTTTAGGTTTTCCAGAAACGCATCCTCGCTCTGGAAGTCCTCGAGAAGGACAAAGTCTTGCACTCCAATGCGATCTCTGGCCTGGAGCTCGCTCTCCATTACGGCAACTGAACAACACCGTCACGCACTCGGAGGAAGAGAGAAAACCTTCCTGTTACAGCTGAGCGATCAACTACAAAGAAATAACGATAGAAAAATCATATGAACGTCATCTTCATGCAAGAATCTTGTATTCACGATCGAAATATCACAAATCGCCCTATACGGCGCGGATGGTAAGTTTTTGGCGCTTTGCTGAACCGGACCCAACCGACTGTCGGAAGTCGCAGGCGCATGATTAAAGTGACCCCGGAAAATGCTGCCCGGTGACTGCCTGGTGACATCGAAACACTGATATTTTCTCACCGGCTTTACTGCTGTTGATAATATTTTTCTTTTCATGGAGCTTTTGGTAGAAAGCTGTGACCAAGAGAAAGCCAGGAAACAATATATTCCTGCGGGCTGATGTAGGGACGATATATGTTTGACCTGTAAAACCAATCATAATCTATCGCTAAACATGACTTCCGGTGTACATGTCAAATGAGCATCGAGATCAGACTAAATATGGTTATTATTTTTTTAGTGTTCTGAAAAGGTAATAGATATTGTTATTTTTAAAATACGCCAAAACAAAAATATTTTTTTTGAACAAAAATACTTTTTCGGAAGCGCCAGCTGCAAGTGGGGCAAACCAGCCGGAAGAATTTAGTAGCTCTGATCAGGAGAGAACTGAAAAACCGGAAGTCTCTTTCTTCATATATTTTATATTTATTTGCTTAATATTCCTTTTGACTTTTTTAAATGTTAGCTATTCTTTTTCTGGACATGCGTATCTACTTCGATCATCCTTAAAGATGAACAGTACACGAGCAAAAAATTCTCCACGAGACAGCTTGTCTTTTTGTGGTACTTTGTGGCTTTTTGCATAGAATCCATTCAGAAGCCTGTTCAATAAAAGGCAGAAATAAAAGAACAAACGTCCGTGGATCTAAGTGGACAGGCCCCAGGGGTCGGGCCCGGGGAACAATCTACCTACGGATCGTGGAAGCCTCTTTGGAGGAGGTCTGGGACGACTGACAAAAACAAACATGGCACCATGCGGATAAGAGAGTTTTTGCTTGTGTTTCTTCTTCGGTTTTCTTCAGAGTAATGGAACAACTACGTCATCTTGAACTTTGGTTAAGTTCCTGGAGCATTTGGCTTGATCCTGTGCACATATTTTCGAATGCAACCGAGAAAATTAATGGACTAAAGGAGAGTGTTAATGAACTTTGGCGGACTGACGACTGGCAAATTCGTTTGTCGTGGCTTCTGTTGATTTGTACGGCTTTTAACATTGTGTTTATTGGCATAGCGTGGCACATTTATAGGGAAACCATATCGAATATGCTCTTCAACAAGTCAAGAAGTCCAGTGCATCAGAGATCGAAGACGAATGTTTTGTCAAGTAGTGTGGAAGACTTAATAGTAAAAAAGATTCAGTAACTAATATTGTGGGGTGAAAGTAGTTAATAAACTCCTGGACTGACTGTTTCATGGGCACTCGGTGCTTTGGCAATAAGTGAGAAGTCAATCAGTCATGATTGTCGTGAATGATGATGGTGATAATGATGATGGCAGCGATGATGATGATGATGATGATGTTGATGAGGAGGAGGAGGAGGACAACGATGATGATGATGATGATGATAATGGTGATGATGACGACTATGATGATGATGATGAGGAGGAGGAGGAGAAGGACAACAATGGTGATGATGATGGTAGTTTTGGTGGTTATGATGGTAATAGAACTGTCCCTGAATGACTGGAGGCAAAACAGCAATTGTTTCCATGGCAAGAGTGGTGTTGTTGTCATTATTGTATCCCACAGGTTTTCAGGCAAAAATACAAAATTCAATAAAATCTTGCCGTTGATAGACACACAAGGTTTAAACAGTCCTCAATACATGTGAAAATGTTACCTATTGACAAAGATATTAAATATTTTATCAGACAATGTGACAAGTATGGGATAAAGCTAATACTTACAGAAGTTTGATTGGTTTAAAAATTACTTAACCTTACCTAACAACAGTTTAAACAGCTAGAAATGGTATTCTCAGCTGAAGAAAGCAACACTATTTTGTCTGCTGAAATTTAGATATTTATAAATAACAGGCCAATATATCTGAGGTTAAAAAAACCCTCCCTTTCAAAATGAGACCAAGTGCAAGCCTTTCTTGTGAAAATGAGTTTATTTGCATGTTAATTTGCCTATAAAGACAGCCAACATTTTGTGACACTACCAACTGTTTTCCCACAAAATGTCTGAGGAACGAGCACAGAAATTCTATACTGACGACGTGTCACTACCCAGATCTGGATAGTGCTTCTGATTAGGTCAGGAAAATTTCCCTTGTGACACAAAATCTGGGTAGTGACACTTTATGAGTGTGGAATTTCTGCACGCATTTCTTAGACATCATTTCACAGGAAAACCAGTGGTGGCATTGTGAAATGTCGGCTGATTTCTCAGACTATATGTTAATAAATAAAATCATTTCCCAGGGTTGTCATTAAGAGCCGGGGGCCGGGGATTTTCCCGGGCTACTAAGAGAGTGGCCCCTGGCTACTTTTATTGGAAAATAGAAGAAAAATCGAACCAAAAGAAACCCCTAGCCGTTTGATTCTCCGCCCATTTGTTGTATTTACCTGGCAACTTGAAATCTTAGTGACAACCCTGATTTCCACAACAGAGGCTTTGCACTTTCCCTCGTTTTGAAATAGAGGCTTTGGGCATTTTGGAAATTGCCTTTAGGAATTCCATGTAATCTGATCTCTAATAATTTCTCAATTAAATTTGGGGAGTGAGAGGCTATGGATATCTCGGGCTGATACCAATAGCTTAACTGGCAATGATGGAGATGACACGATGGTAAACTGGCAATGACAGCAGGCAAAAATTTTGCAAACTTGTGTTTTCAGTAACATGCTTGACAAGCATTGCAGTGTATGCATACTATTCATATCACACAACCTGTATTTGCCAAAAACTTTTCATTATTATGGGGGCACTCAAATCAAAAAGACAAACCAGAAGAAAAAAAACAGACTGGAGTTGCAATACTCTAATTCCTGTTTTAGTTATGCACGTTTGAGATCTGTTAGTCAGCCATTGTTGTAAAAGATGCTGCAATCAAACCAATCACTAAGTAAATAATTCTACTTTCTTTATTTTCTTTGATTACCTAGTAAATTTTATGTATAAAATAAAAAATTATTAACCCCTTCATAACAACGTTTACAGCTGCATATATTTTAAGTAAGTAGGTAACCCTTCATTTGATAAGTGTACAAACTTTAGTGCTCCTCATTGGGTCAGCCAGCATTCATCTGGCTTAAAGTTTAAACATGTATCTTTCCCATTTACGAATACTTGCAGATCAAAGGACTGGCAATTTAATGATTAAAATCTGGCTTAATTTCTTTATTTCCAGGTCCCTATGATTGGTCGACTCACAATCATTTTCATTGATACTAGTGAACATACATCTATGGAAATGAGACTGAGAGAAAACAAAAGTCAATCTCAGTGATTGTTGTCATGTAGAGGCCAGCCTATAATACCTAGCGAGGAATAAATAATCTAAATTAATGGGTGACTGCTGTTTGACAATGTGTCATTTACTTTTGTTTACAGTTTTTTTTAGCGTGTCACGTAACAACCATCGCGGTACTGTGAGACACTGGAGACCAGAGGAAGTGAAATAGACTGCCCCTCGCCCTTCTTGCATCTCTGCTTTCTAGTCCTACAACCTTAATGCATCTTCCAACTCAATACAGTATCTAGCTCAACTCAGCACAGATCCTCCACTAGGATTTTAGGGGTGGGAAATGGTATCTAAGAAATCACAGCTCTCTAAAAACTCTTGATCAATCTCAAAGTCTCAAAAACATTGGTCATGAGTCAAAGTCTTGCTTTTTCCATCTAGGTGTTTAAACAAGTAATTCTGGGCTCTTGGATGATCCAAACAGGTCTCCAGCATCTCAGTGAGTCTTGTTATATTTTTACCATTATTTTGTTCCGACCCTAATACTGATTTTGCAGGATACCTGCAATCATGGTCCTCAATAATTAAACGTGATTCTTTACATTTAATTAATGTTAAAAAAATTATACTTGATAACTGATACAAATTATGCATGAGATAGTAAAAAACCAAATTTCCCAAATCTGTGATTAATACAGACTTTAAATATTATATATTAAATAATTTTATAAATAAATACAGTGCATTTCCAAATCTACAAATTTTAATATATAATTTTAAGAAAATAGTTAATAAATTACTGATAGTTTCTCTACAGAACTTCTAAAATCTTCCTGACTGTCGGATTTACCTGAAAAAAATGTAATAAAAATATTACAAATCAGCAAAACAGTTTATAAAATCACCACTTGTAGCTAAAAAGGGGGACACAAATTCAATTCAATTTTATCTGGATTATAACACCAATATTATATCCAGAATGCATTCAAGTGGTGTACGTCTCCTATAAATAGGTCTTTGTTTCATTAATATCAAAATTATTATTTACTTATTATCATTATTACAATTTTAATTTATTTTTAATTATCAAGGCTTTTTATATATTTTTCTTCATGATTTATGTGAATATTTCAAAAACTGTTACACACAAGCACACAATTCAAAGCTATCAATTCCTACTTACAGGGAATCCACTCAGCTTAGATTTAAGGCCACAGAAGTCTGCTTCCTCTATAATTTCCTTTGAGCTATATATGCTCTTCTTTTCTGTGATTCTAAAAGGAAATTGATACACATTCAGTTGCTTGATGGGATGCAAGTAGTCAAACTTGCTTAACTGAACTTCCCCTCCTCCCACACAAACTATATTTTGTTCCCGGTGGGGGAGGGGGAGGGGTACTTTAGGAATTTCTGGGTGAGGTTGTGCCGCTGGGACCCTGGAAGCCTTAGCCTCTACCAGAGCTAGTTCAGCTGAATTTTTCTACCCTATACTAGAATAAACTCCCCCAACCCCCCTATCATAGGGTAGCTGTTTTCCAGAAACTACTGAGGTCACTAGCACAGTTTAGCCAAAACATAACCTTATACCACAATCCCTAGTCTAGATAAAATCTTCAACCAACTGATCAGTTTCCTGAAAAATGATACCCTATTCTAGACCCAAACGCTCCGATTTATATACCTCATCCTAGAGTAAACTGCTTGAAAACCGTACCCTTCACAGCGGCACATACCTATATAGCCCATATATAGCAGTACCCCCCACCCCCCGGATTTTTTTTTCTTAGAAGTTCTACGTGTATGTCATTAACACTAAAATGGTATTAAATAAAAAGATCTAACACAAAATTATTTCACTCACTGTGTTTCTGAGAAGAGTAACCTTTCTGAAAATGCTGCAATTGCTGAGAACTGTGCCAAATTAAAAGTAGACTTCTCATTTCCTTCAACCATCTGTAACAGGATGAGACAAAGTGATCATTAATACCCAATAAGTTGAACGTGAGCAGAAACGAAAGTAATAATATTAAAGTAAGTCCATTCATAACATTAATGCTTGTTACCTCTATAAGTTTCTTGACTTGTTCTGTAGTTATGGAGTCTACATGAATTTCCTTCAAGCCTCTATCCATTTCCTTTGACAAAAGTTGCACAAAGAACAGCATGAGTAAATTCACAATCACTTTTCAGTATTCATCATCATTGTGATTTTTTGGGAAAAAATTTATTTGTTGGGTAAGCAACATTGTAAGAATCTGAACAACACCAAAGATACTAAATGGGTTGATGTATAAGCTTGTAATATCCATTTTGAAATCACTGTACTGGTGATCTCTGCAATCTGATTGGCTCTCAGCAGTGTGATTTATTCACAAATCACACTTTTTAAACTCTAAATCACATCTGTTCTAAATCACTCCATTCTTGCTCTATATTGCATCATTTCTGTTTCAAATACAAAATGAGATGTAAAAGCCTTTTTGTTTCCAGTTTTCAACAAACCACCTTCTTGATCAATAAAATATCGGTAATGACTGAATTCTGCAATTTCAAAATGGCTGTAAATAAAGTGGTTATTGAACTTAATGTCTTGCAATTTTGGTCTGAAATCACACTAGTGATTTCAAATCGTATTCGTGGTGCATGCTGGTGCAATTTTGAAATGATGCGTATGATTTCAGGCCATATTGCAGTACACTCAGTTCCATAACCATTATATACATATACACGTACCCTGAAGGTTATTAAATTATCTCTGTCTTTATCCACCTTCAGAAATATGTGCTTGTAAAGTGCTTTCCTTCTTGTGCTGAAATTGTCAAGAAGAGGAAGTTAAGTTATTTTATGGCTTATAAATGAAGACGTTTTTACACCATTAAATTGAACAAGAACCTCAAATGATATCTGCACTCCTGACCTGATAATGCAGTACTTGGTTAAGTAATCCATTGGCGTCATAGCTTTACAGGAAAGAAAAAAACGGAGAAATCAGATTTTGATCACAATTGTCAAAAAATACAAAATCACCTATTGAAGTGGTGAATATAGCTAGGGAAGGGGCCCCTTACTTTAAGGAAGAAAGTGAGGCCCACAGGACAGAAGATTTTTTTGAAGGCTGTGGACTCCTCTTCATACCATCCTTGATAGTGGGACCAATAATTATTAATGATTTGTTTTTCTAAGGTGCTATTTTAATATTTTGTGTCCAACATGATTATTATTAATTTTTACACATTATATCAAATTAACTTTTAGTACAAATTACATAGATGTATGTACAACAACATGTACCTTCAAGTAATCTAACATCCATGGGAAGCTCAAAGCGACTAGTTTGTTTAGAAAGTGCCAATCTCCCTTGCAACCATGGCTTCATGCCCTCTCTCTTCCGCTGGAGAAAACAGACAAAAATACTTCTATAAAATTAACAGACCGACCTCAACATGGCATGATGCCATGCCTTTTTGTAACAGTTCCTTTCTTTTTCTTGTTTTATATTTTGCTGTACTACTAAAAACAACTTCATAAGGAGGGCTTTTAACCGCTTTTTAAGCTTCAAAATGTTGTAAAAATCAAATTCATTTCAATACAAGCTAGAGGGGCACTTATAATGTATAAATCTGGGGGGAAGGGGGCTTATAAGGGGATTATTTTTTGTTTAGATGCAGGTACAAGTAAATGGGCCTATAACTTGGGGGGGAGGGGCATATAAGCGAAACTTTATGGTAACTAACTACCCTTTGTACTTACCTTCTGTTCGTCCAAGATGGTTGTCATGACTTCAGTGCTCTCAGGAGATGGTCTGAACTGAGGCATAACTGTAGGATTAGTCAGGGACTTCTTAACAGGCTTGGACTCTCTTTTCTGTTCCAAATGATACTCTAGAAGGTCCTTTAGGAAAAATAGGTATGTTTCAATTCATTGAGTGCTATGATGCATTGTAGTGTAAAGAATAACACTGAGAATAAACCCCCTTAATCTTAGCATTGACCAAAATTTCCAAACAATTTGATTTGTAAAATGCTGAGAAGCAAGAAGTGTGATGTGAAAATTTTACTAAAGAGAATTCCTTTAAATTGTAACACAATGGAAATTCATCTGAAGACTCAAAAGGTAGAACCACCTTAAATGACTATACCATTAACTCTGGTAGTAAAAGGTTTAGATTCAGTCTGATTATTGTAAACATGTTGTGTGCAGTCAAAAGAAAAATAGACTGTGGAATTATGATTGGTTAAAAGAGAAGATCAGAGTAAATGAATTAAATACTGCAATGTTAAAAAAAGTGAAAGCATTTTTTACCTTTTGTCAATCAGAAGGCAATTTGATGATTGATATTTTTAAACCCGCATTACAGTCTCCAAAATATGCATGGTCATTACCAGAATATCAACATTAGTCAAGAGAACAAGAGGACATCAAATATCATTTTCCTTGCAGGTGGCAGGATAATTAAGGAGTAGAAACTTTTTAGAGTCATAATTATACCTCTTATCCGTGTTTGGAAAAGCATTACTCGTTTTATTTTTTCAAACTTACTTTTTTTGCGATGACTCATTAACAGTGGAGACTAAAACTTTTTATTTTTGTTATTAACCAACAAAATGCCACAAATTCAAAACTTCACCTCACAGTTTGAGTACTTTTGGCCACAATGAACAACATGATTTTGGAGCATAGAGGAAAACTTTCATAGAAAAGAGATCAATATTTTACTTCACACATTGAAAAGAAAAAAAAGAGAAGAAGCTGTGACCATCTAAACTAAACGGATAGTTTTGGCAAGTCAAAGGGTATTCTGTCAGCAGTTCAATAATTCATGCAGAATGTAGATGTTTAGCTGATAACAAGATAAATTATTTATAAACATCTGGAGAAGTCAGGTTAGCTAGTTCCTTTCTTCAAGCAATGGTGAATATAGTCAAATAAAAAATGTTCCAGCAGGAAACAAT